CCATGGTATTGTATTTATGATGCTTACTGCCTTTGACTTTTATAATCATAAGTCACAAAAAATTGTTGAGTACCTGTGCTAGTTCATGAACTATTTGCTAGGCATTGTGCTGTGGTATATGGTATTTATGATAATTTAGAATTATATATTCTGACTCTTCTGCTATATTGTGAACTCCATAAGGGTAGGGCCATTATATGCTTTTTGCATCTCCAACACCTATGACCTTCACATAATAGGAACTCAAAAATGGATTTTTGGTAAGAAAAGTTTACCTGTTGCATTAGAGGCTCTATGGCTTGGGTACCAAGTTATCTGGTTTGTAATTCTGGGACCTTCAGTTATCTTTCATATCACCTTTTACACCCTAAATTCTCTTCTGTGAATCCAGATTTAAGGATCTTGTGATCGTTCTGGATGACGGTTAGATGGGAGAGTGTGTTTTAAAACCATTGAGTTAACAACCTTAAACTCTTTGTAGGTCTGCCTGGTGTCTTATGTTTGTGGGCACTTAGGACAATAGGTATTAATTAGGTAAGATTGATTTGATTGTATTCAGACTATATCTGAATGCCAGTCTCTTGGTTTGTGAACACGGGGAAGCTGAATATGTGGGTGGGTGAGCACTACATCCATCTATCATCTCTGCCTTAGAAAGAACCAAGTTCAAATGAAGGCCAGTATTTTCTTTTTTTTTTAAGACACTGAGGTTTTTTTTTTGTTGTTGTGGACCATTTTTAAAGTCTTTATTGAATTTTGTTACAATATTGTTTCTGTTTTATGTTGTTTTGGTTTTTTGGCTATGAGGTATGTGGGATCTTAGCTCCCTGACCAGGGATCAAACCCGCACCCCCTGCATTGGAAGGCGAAGTCTTAACCACTGGACTGCCAGGGAAGTCCCTGAAAGCCAGTATTATACACACACACTCACACTCTCTTACTTTAAAGTCAGGATACTTTTGAGATATTATTTATGAGTTTTTTAAAGACTGTAAAATTTTTATTTTCTGAAATAAGTTTTAAAATTCATTGCGTAGGCTTGTAAGTAGAGGGGTTATTTTATGCATGGTTATTATAATAAACTATTTAGAAGCATGAGATCTAACTAAATCTGGTGGCCATATTTTTTTGTGAAATCCCTTTATCTTTTCAAAGGTTACATACAAAATAATAATAACTTTTGTAAATGTATGTGTTATTACCTGGTCTAGTAAGTTGTGTCCATTTTCATACTTAAACTTTTCTGTATGTTAAATTTGAGGTATATGTGTTTGGCATGCTTAATAGAAAGAAAGCATATGTATAAGCAGTATGCTTCCATTTTTGTAAAAACAAAGTGTTCTTTCTTCCTCACATATGTGTCTATACTTGTATATGTATGAGCTTGGAGAAACTTGTGGAGGACACATGTCAGGCTGTTACCATTGATTACCTTCAGCACGTGGGGATGAGAAAGGAAAGTGAGACTAAGGGGGAGAATTTTGCAAAACGGAAAAATACTCGGGGTATAATATTAAGTGAAAATGTAATCTACTTTGTTATTGTAAGTATGTAAAAATTGAACGTGCATGTAGACAGGGATAGAAAATAACATGAACAAATGAAAACATTGACTTTACTACTGATGGAATTATGGAGAAGTTTTGTTTTGGATTTCTGTTATTTTAATATTTTATAATAAAATAATTGCAAAAGGTTTATCCCTCTTAATTCCTTAATGAACTTTTTATCTTTTGGCTAAATGTGTTGCTTAAAAACATGGTGGTACATATCATTAAAAATATTTGCAGATCATGTGTACATAGTGTAAGTTATCTACTTTAAGAATGCATTGGCTCTTCGTATAGAGAGCATTTCGAAGAGACCATTCTAGTGTTGACAGTGATCCTGTATTGTTTTCACAGTGCCCCTCTTGTAACTAGCAGAGGCTTCTGTAAATAATGATAATACCTGGTATTTATAAACATTTTAATTTCCAGTCATTCTAAATATTTTATATGTAGTATGTTTTTTAATCCTCATTAATTCCATGAATAGTAGTTACTATTATTGTCCCATTTTATAAATTAGGAAACCGCAGCACAGAGAGAGCTCAAGGTCATGATATAATAGGCTAAACCAGGATCAAGTACCGTTTGAAAAACTGCACTGTTTGATAAACAGTATAGGTTAGAATTCATTATAATAACATGCAGTAATTAAAAAACATACATTAGTTATTAATATATATGATATATAGTAATATGTGTAAATAATAGTATAGGTT